ATAGATAGATAGATAGATAGATAGATAGATAGATAGATAGATAGATAACAGGGTGTATTGTTTTGGCCCAACTGCTGTTTTGCCTTCACTTTAGAAATTTTATTGACACGGTTGTGTAATTGTGTTTGCTTGCGACAGGGTCACAACACCACTGACCCACGTCTCATGTCCTCATATGTCAGATTAGTCAAATCCAGCAGCTTATCCTGGGCCCGCACACCTAACTTACTTTGACCTCCACCTCCCTGCACCCACCCCAGGCTTTCCTCACACATCCCAACTGCAAACAAGCATTTAAACTCATAATGTGGGGAAAACACACGCACACACACACGACACTCCCTCCATAAGCAACGCATTCAAACAACAAATGACTTAACTTTAGCTGCACAAAAGCATCGAGCCTTAGTTAGCATATGCGTGGGATTTAATCACTTTTCAGTGTTTAGTCATAATGGAAGGCAGATAGTGGCCAGTTGACCACACCTGGCTCTGCCCACAGATCCAGTGGGGGCACACACGGTTAAACTTTAATTGCGTGTTTGTGCCAGTCGCTACGGTCTGTTGTTTTCTGTTGAGCACATGAAAATGTTCCCAACATTATCAGAGCCTCTAACAGCTCGACATGCAGAAAACCTCATTTGTAGTGTGACGATCGGAACCAAATCAGTCACTGAGGGGAGGACATAGGGCTCTGTCTCACGCGCTGAATCCAAGGAGGAAACTTGAATCCATTACTGCTTGAAGGTGTGTATTTAGACTATCCAAGTATAACACACTTTGTGACATAATTGTGAATGGACTTGCAAGATGGAAAAATAGCTTTAGAGGTCAACAGAAAGTATAGAAACTTTACATCTACCCTCTCAGTATCAAACAACAAAACAAGAACCACAGGCAGACACTGGTGATATTTATCAGGCAATCATCCAAAACCCAGCCACACCCACACACACACACACACACACATATCCAGGACAAATCCAGAAACACTCACTCCCTCTTGGGACAAATGCTAAACACACCCCTGCCTCTACATCATTCCTTCCCAATGATCCAACATTTTCAGACAAGCTATGACTTCCCAGCTTCAACCCTGAGCCCTGCTTCCATCAAATTTCAAATAAGCGGCCATTCGACTGCTCAACGGTCTGTGGTTGTAGATGTCTGACTCCCCTCTTGGTGGTGATGCTCTACACATGTTCAAAAGGAGACAGATGCCCCAGAGCCGGACAGCCTGCTGCAGCTGCTCTGAAAGAGAGAGGGAAAAAAAGTTGTTTAAAAAAATAAATCTGCTGTTAACTGGTACGTTTTCCCACATCTTTTATGTTGCATCTCCATCTCATGACAATTTGAGTTGACCTGCTGGAGCAGCAGGGGTTTCGTTGAGTTGTAGAGGAGTTGAGTAGGATTCTGAGGAGGTGGTAAAGTCGGAAATAAACCCAAAGGGTGCCCTGCCTGAGGTTTCAGGTAACACAGACCACAGGATTCCCTGATTTACTGTGTCCAGAGATGCAGATGTGTGAGATAATTGCATTTGGGGGGAAATTAGCCAAACCTTTACCTCTTATCAGCCTTAATACAGACTTTAAGAATCAAACAGTTACAGTTACTAGGATGCACAACAGGAGCTAAATGGAGACAAAGGTGAAAGAGGGTTAAACCGTTTATTTTTTCTCGATCGCCATGGGAAACGGGAGTTCACCGCTCCCGAGGACCCCGACAGATGATATCAGGCAGACATCCCAGCTCTCTGCTCAGCTTTAAGAGCAGCAGGCTGACAGAGAGGGAACAGGGGGTCAGAGGTCACCGATGGGGACACCCAAGAAACAAAATGAACTGAACTTGTCGGAGCCGGTGGAACGCGAGCCTTCTGTGCGTATATGACATTACACTGTCTGAAGTTAGAATCAGGAAGCAGAAGGAAATCGGCGCCTTCCTCCCGGGACACGATGCCACCTTCATGGCCGCACAGCGGATAACTGGGACTGTTTTTTTTGCTGGTGTATGCTTCGATTCCTCCTCGAGTAATGGTTCGGGTCACATTTCCGAATGCAGCAGGGGACCTCGGTGAATCAAGCCCATTTATGAAGCCCCACGGCCCACAGCCCCGTCATTATTTCTCATTGGGTGCTGCCAGATAGCTGGAAGACTGTGAGCATTAGCTGTGTGTTCCACACTGAAACGATGCTCTGTTTGTGTTCGGGGGGGGGAAAAAAAAAACCAAAGCACTTTTTGTCTCAAGTTGTTTGCCAACATCCTCTATTGAGGGACTAAATTTCCACCTCGGCAGCGTGCTTTGATTCCAACGCTTCAGCGGAGGGTCGCGCGGCAAGGAAAGAACGCAGCGCAGATTGAAAACTGAGCGACAGCGACTTCACACGATCATCCCCCACCCGGGCTCAGATCAAGGGGACGGAGCGCATTCGCAAACAGATGGAGATCTCTGCGTGAGGGAAGGAGGGCTGTCGGGGGAAAAGAGAGGAGAGGCAAAAGAGAAGAGAGAAGAGATCAGTGCGTCCGCCACAGAACAAACGCCAACGAGGCGAGCGGCCCGCGGTGGACGGGAAGGGAGGCAGAAGCCGCTCACTTCCTGCTGGCGAGCAACACCTGGCATATCAAAGCTGCAAAGGAGAGGCTGTTTCAAAAGGAGCCGAGAGCTTTTTTGCTTCAGCCTCCGCTGAGATTTCAGAGAGTTCGGACGCCACGAAAGGGATAAATTTAGCACCATAAAATGATTAACGTGTGCATTAATCAGATGGCTGTTTACGCTGGTGAAGAGTGTGTGTGGCCCTGTGGGGAGATCATTAGATTGAGCTGGAGTCAGAATACAGTGATTGTTTGGGCGGGGACCGGGGGCCTACAAAGGCTAACCATCTACAGTTTCCAAAGTGAGCCCAAAAAATGAGTTGGTTATATGTGTGTACTGTTGTCATTGTGCATGAGTGAAATATATACAGACTGGAGACATCGTCTAATACGATATTTTAACACTGTTAACAGAGGGCTCTGCCCTGGATCCCAGAATCTGAATTCTATTCTGGGATCCAGAGGGTAACACTCGAGCCTCCGAGTGGAGATGTTTTACAACTAATATTTTATTTTCACAAAATGTAATTTAATATTTATTTTGAAGGAATTTTAATACTGAATTTAAATGACTTTTACGATGTCCCTCTCACCCTTAAAGATGCCATTTTGTTTGTTGCTTACATGGAAAAATGTGACACATTACTATGTAAAAAAAGGTTAGCAAGCAATATTTCTTGTACAATTTCTCTGTTCTTTATACATTTAAGCAGGAGCGTCTCTATAGGGGGGGCTGGGGTGGCATGGCCACCAGAGTTTCCAATGGGCTTGTTAGCATTAGCAGACTGATCAAAATCTGATTAGTCTGTGGCTCCATGACTTTGTGCTCTAGACAAAAATGACTCTTTTATTAGAGTTGGAAAGGGTAAGACATTGACATTAGTTTACAATGAACTGTATTTGATCATTTGCAAGTGTTGAAATTTAGTTGAAAAGCAACTTGTACAGACTTAGCATAGAACGATAGCTTAGCTTAGCATAATGAATTGAAATGAATGTAAACAAGAGCCTTTCATTAGCCTGCTCTGCTGTCCTGTTATCAGGTATGTGTAAAAGTAAATATCTTCAAAACTATTTAATATAGTAAGTTTTTGGAAAATTACAGCATAACTAGCCTCTGGTTGAGTCGTGTGAAAGTAATTTTCTTTAAGGTAATCTAACCACCCGATGCCCATGTTTTTTTGTTTTTGTTTTCAGGGATAGACCAATACAAGAGAGAGCGAGAGAATAGGACTCAGGGGACATTTTCAGTGTTAAGAAAAAGAAAACTGTAGAAAACTATCAGAAATGGAACTCAAGGCAGGACTCAGATGCAGAGATCTTTGGCAAAAACTTTAATTAAACAAAAGCGCACTCACATGGAGTGGAAGACAAGGCAAAGTACAAAATAATAATCACTCTTGAAAACGAGGCAGACAAAGCTATGAACAAAGTACAAAATAAACTCACTCTGAAAGGAGGATGACAAAAGTTACAAAGTACGAAATCAAAATCACTCTTATGAGGAATAAACAGGTTCAAAGCGCAAGGCAAGGACTCACTATGGTTTGGTTCAGCTCAGTAAGAGTAGTACTTTTCAAAATAAAACAGGAAATGACATGACAACCATGGAGACAGGACAAAACACCAAAAAATCCCCCAGGCGTGACAGAAACAGTATTTTCATGGAGGAGAGTGAGCAGCAGCATTCACAGATATATCTTCAAAACCAGATATCACTGGACCCTGAATCAGACAGGTAGTCCACTGTATACCACAATCTGCAGTCAAGTCTTCGGATTAGCATCTTTCTGCAAGGCCTTCGTTTCATCTCCTGCGATTTTCTGCTTGATCAACAGCAAATTGTGTTGCCGTTGTCACACTGAAACAAATAAGGCGTGGAAGGTCGCTATCTAAATGTAAACCACATCTCTGTGGGGAAGTGAGCAAAGAAAGAGACCTTTTATCATGCAAATGCTGGTGTGTGGAGCTCCCAGCTGTCCAAATCATACAAATCATTGAAAAAATATCTTTGCAAAATGTATTTTCCGACTTTAGTGATTCAATCCGACAACTCTTTCCACTCATGTTAATGCTTGCACAAACACTTCATTTAGATGCCCGATAGGCTTTCGTCCTTGTTGAGTTTCAAACAGCCACTTTTATCAAAGTGTGGCTGTGAAACATGGCTGCTGGCTCTGTTTTGGGGCCGACGTTTTTGCCAGCAGGAAACCTACAGGATGAAGAGACGGAGTGACTGATGGCTCGGTTCCTCTGATTCTCTCTCCGTGCGTCAAAACAAGCTTGTGTGTGGGGGTGAATGAAACAAGCAGCTATCATTATTTGCTTGAGCTCATTCGCACCATGACACATTAGGAGGGTTTATTAGTTTGGCGTGGCTCCACGAGCACATGCCCCGTGTTTTTCCTTCACCGCTTGCCAATTCCACAAACCCCGGATGCTTCTTCTCCGGTTTTGCTGGGGGGACAGCGCCCTCTTTTGGGTGGTTGGAGATGAAGGTGGAGGGATCAGAGGATGGAACCACTGTAAGTCAGCCGTTTGCCAGGGTTTTCACTGAATATGTAATCCCATGCAAAGACCTGTGAGTAGATCTTCAACAGATGAAGGTGACACAGAGACAAACAACCACACAAAGCTCACGTTGACTCAAATGCAAACTCTACACAGAGAGGCCCTCAATCCTAACCCCAGGGTTTCAAAACAGGGAACACAGCCCACATGTAATAAACACAAAAAACAAACAAAAAAAGCCAAGTTCTGGCCAATCAAGCAAGCCCAGTTTAGTTTTCATTGATAGGTAATTGTCACTTTAATGCCACTGAGTGTATCTTTGGTGCGTCTGTGAGGTAAGGTACGAACAAATTGAGCTAAAAGTGGGTTTGTGAAGCTTACGTCACTGTCAATGAATCTGTCCCTGGTAGAAATCAGACATTCTTAGTCTTTTTTTTCCCATGCTGGTGCATTATGAACTAACCTCAACGATCCTCATCTCTGTTGAAAAACGCACACATGAGGAAATGGGCAGGATTGAACTTTATCTGAATAATTTTTGGCTAAACTTGTGATCTTTTCTGTTTAGTTCTGGAGCCTAACTGAGCTGCGGTGGTGTTATTTTCTGTTAGCTTTGAGTGAAACGGCTCAGCCCTCTCAGCGTCCGCTCTGGTGGACAGGTGGACATCACTGAGGCCACAGTGCCCCCAGCAGGCTGCAGCCGGACGCCTTCATGAGTCTGGATGCCGGTTTATACGGAACTCTGCAGTGTTTTTGCACCAACGGGGAAGCTCAGCCTTCAGGCGTTTGAGAAAACCTCTAACGGGTGGAGGACGGGTGGGCAAAGAAGCTGTTTACAAGGGGTGGAAAAACGCTGACTCATCACTCCATCAGCATGAATGCTGCTTTTTTTCAGTCCAGTTTGTGGATTGTGGCCTCAGTGTCATCACGAGGCGTTCAAAGACTTTCCTTAAAGAGTTTTCAGATCTTGCCGAAGATTAAAATCGCTCATAAAAAATAATATCAAGTCACACTATGCAGCATTTAGCTTTTTTAAACCCATTTTTTTGTACATTGCCAGGACTCCTGCCCCCCTTTGGGCACCTTTCTGGTGTAGAGGTATCTAAAGGGAGTCCACCCTCTGTGAGCCCTTCACGGCTTCAGTTCCGGTACGGACGCACCCAGAACTGAACAGAAAAGCCAGGCTTCCTCCTCAGTGGCTCCAGCTGCTGTACTGCAGGTGTTGGCCTCTGCTGTGTCCTACAGCTCTGAAGACGCCTCGTGCGGTGGTGAGGCTGCAGTCCCCCCCCCCCCCCCCCCCCCCCCCCCCCTGGAGGGGGGGGCTGTCCTCCACCCCACAGGGGCGTAGCCCGTCTCCTGCTTCCAGACAGGATCAGCACCAAGGCCAGCGAAGGCTTCTCTTTAAGCAAACGTCCCCTCACTCTATCTTTAAAAAATATATATGATTCCCTCCTTGAAACTTTAAGATAAACTTTTTTCCGTCCTGATTTGAGTTTGATGGCTCAACCTGAGGCTGGGACCTGTGATGGAGACACTAACGGTTTAGGATAAGCGTGAATAACGTGGAGTGTGTTAGTGATTTATTGATCGGACAAATGAGTCTCACCGTGCACGTCGATAATGCGGCGCTGAAGAGGGGTGTGTGTGTGTGTGTTTGTGTGTGTGTGTGTGTGTGTGGACTGCAGAGCGCGGCTCCTCACATCGATCTGGTTTGCCATTCTGCTGGGACAGCAAAGAAAAAACTGCAATGACACAGGACATCTCCCCCCCCCCCCCCCCAGGGCGAGGGGACACGAGACAGCAGGACAAGGCGATCGCGCGCGTGGTTTGTCTTCAGACGTGAGACCACCGTGATGCGTTTTTACCTGAAGACTAAATAAGAATAAAAGACCCCCCCCGCCCCCTCCTCTTCCTCCGTTTAACATGTGTTAATCGTTTAGAGTTTTTTTGTTTTGGTTTTGGGTGTATTCTCAAGTTGCAGGAGAGAAAAGATGATGAGCTGCATGAGTGAGTTCGTGTCTCCCCAGAGAGGGTGAGGGTGTGTGTGTGTGGGGGTGTGTGTGGAGGGTTTGGGCTGGGGCGGGCGGTTCCCGCCCCCCCCCCCCATCCTCAGCCGTCTCTGCGTCAGATGATGCGCCGCGGCGCCCTCCCTATAAAAGCACCTGTCCTGGCCAGACATCACTCGCATCTCACTTTCTCCTCCTCTCTCACACGCACACTCCACCCTCACACACCCTCTTCTGGACTCCACGCACTCTTCTTTCCCCTCTTTTTCTCTCTCTTTCTCTCTCCCGTTTCCAAGCAGAGGCCAGATCCCCGCCCGGGTTCAGGACACCATGAGTTACTCCAGCGACATCTACAGCAGCAGCAGCTCCTACCGGAAGATCTTCGGGGACGCCCCGCGCTCCGGGCGCGTGGCTCTGGGCGGCAGCCCGTCCCGCCTGCACTCGGCGGGGTACCGCAGCGGCGGCCACCGCTCCACCTACGGCGCCCCCTCCATGCTCTCCTCCTCCCCCTCCTCCGCCGCCTACCGCAGGACGGCGGCGTCCGGCCGCGTCTTCTCCTCCATGCCGGACTCCGCCATGGACCTGACGCAGTCCACGGCCGTGACCAACGAGCTCAAGATCATCCGCACCAACGAGAAGGAGCAGCTCCAGGGCCTCAACGACCGCTTCGTGTCGTTCATCGAGAAGGTGCACAACCTGGAGCAGCAGAATAAAGTCCTGGAGGCCGAGGTCACGCTGCTCCGCCAGCGCCACAACGAGCCCTCGCGCCTGCACGAGCTCTACGAGCAGGAGATCCGCGAGCTGCGCGCCCGCGTGGAGGAGCTGACGCACGAGAAGAGCCAGATGCACGTGGACTGCGTGCAGATGAGCGAGGCGCTGGAGCGCGTGCGGGAGAAGCTGGAGGAGGAGAGCCGGATGCGCGAGGAGGCCGAGGGCGCGCTGAAGGGCTACCGGAAGGATGTGGACGACGCCACGCTGGCGCGCCTGGAGCTGGAGAAGAAAGTGGAGTCCCTGCTGGACGAGATCGCCTTCCTCAGGAAAGTGCACGAGGAGGAGCTGCAGGAGCTGCAGACGTCGCTGCAGGCCACGCAGGTACACCGCGCACGGGCTCAAAGTATTCTAGTCCCAAGCACGCACACACGCGCCGGATAAGCGCTCAGGTTCGAGGGGGGGTTTCAGGGAAACACAAAAAGTTCAAACATGAGTTTCATCATTCAGTTTTTACTGACTTTTTAAAAAAAACTTTTCCTGTGACTTATCATGGCGTCAGATTCCGTTTTCCTACTTTGGCCAGCTCCTGTGAGCCCCGGCCGGTCCTGATGCGTCACGCTGAGAAAAACTAACACTGCGCACTGGAAAATTGATGGCACTGCAGTTCCGTTTCAGCACCGCGCGCTGTCCACTCCCCCCCCCCTCCCTCCTCCCTCCTCTCCCCTCCGGCGGGGGTCCTGCAGCGCTGCGTCACGCGTCCTTCCAAACCAAAATGTTTACGAGTTTAATTCATTTAGCAGAAAATGTTCGTTTACGGTTTGATTCTGGTCTGTAAATGGTGTCAGAGCCCGATCTCAGAGCCTAGTTTGCTGCTCACAGGCGGTGCTTTCCCATAAAAGTTGGGATAGTGCTCTGCCCATAATTTTTAATCATAAAAAAAGGTGTCTGGGAAGGGCAGAGGGGAGGGGGAGGGGGGGAGGAATGCGGTGAATTTGCGCAGACCGTAATCCAGGGGTGTGGTCCTCCTAAATCAAAAGCCAAAATATTCTCTTCAGGTATCATAACTTTTCAAGCCTTTTAAATGCTCACGACGCAGGAGAAATATCTAAAAGAAGTATCTGTATCTTAAGCAATCAAAACACACAAACATCACTGATTAATTCACACACACACATACATAAAACTATGAAGAGTTATAGCTCTGTCATGTTGATTTCTCATAGGGGAAACTCTGGATTTGGCGCAGCTGATCAATTTAAAATCGCTCCAGTGGCTGCCGGTAGATTTCTCCGGGGCCTCTATGCTGCCCTGCAGGGATTATTATTGCCGTGCCAGGTGTTGACCTCAGCGTTCTGCAGCAGAGTACCTGAGTCAGCAAACCCAACCTCAGTCCTTCAGCAGCAGCTCACCTTATTATGCATCTAGCATGTGTCAATCTGCTCCAGTTCACGCTAAGAGACAGCTAAATGGTTATTTTTAGGGGTTATTACTCAATAAATGTCTCGGATAGATGCTTTAATCAGGCTCACGTATTCGGCCGGCTATCTAAACACAACTTCAGAGGAACTTTGTGTTTTAATGACTCTAAATGTTAACTTTACTGCATGCAAACACGCAGTAAAGTGACCGGTTTAAGGCCCTCAGGGGTCGGCCATCCGTGCCCCGTCCTGGTAAAGAGCGCCGTGCGCTTTGCTTTTACCGCATCCAGGTGTCGGTGGAGATGGACATGAGCAAACCGGACCTGGCCGCCGCCCTGAAGGACATCCGGGCCCAGTACGAGAACCTGTCGGCCCGGAACCAGGGCCAGGCCGAGGAGTGGTACCGCTCCAAGTTCGCCTCGGTCAGCGAGGCCGCCGCCCGCAACCAGGACGCCATCAAGCACTCCAAGGAGGAGCTGAGCGAGTACCGCCGGCAGGTGCAGGCCCGCACCCTGGAGATCGAGTCCCTCCGGGGCCACAACGAGGCCCTGGAGAGGCAGATCGCCGAGATGGACGATCGCCACAACAACGAGGTCGGCGAGATGCAGGTAAGAGCGCGATCCCGAGAGCTCCTTTGCCATTTTTCGTCGGGGCTAGTCCCAGAGAGATATCCGGCATCCGCTTTTTTTTGCTCGTGTAGGACACCATCCAGCAGCTGGAGGGTGCCCTGCGCAGCACCAAGGGGGAGATGTCCCGTCACCTGCGGGAATACCAAGACCTGCTGAACGTCAAGATGGCGCTGGACATCGAGATCGCCGCTTACAGGTCAGTGAGGGCACAGATGTCTGGAGGATGTCTGACACTGTTTTGATGTGTAATTCCAAACTTCAAAATCACCTTTTTGGAAAAATCCATCCCCCTGAATACAAAGCAGGGGGTTGATGTTGACCAGGTTGCAGGGTTTTGATGCAGCTACCTCCATTTCTGGCCCAACGTTCTTTATTTTTGTGGATTTCCAGAGCAGAGCTCTTGTGGGGGATCTGGTGGCCCACTTTTTTTAGACGCCTCCTTTGTCACGGCGTGATTCCCGTAGGATTCCGTCCTCTGTCATAACCCACAAAGTTTGAGATCAAGCTAAAATTGGACCGAAATCCCACATTGGGGCCGCTGTCACGTCCATCCCCGTGACAAGCGGTTGCTTTTATGTAGAGAAAAGGAATAAAGATCTTAACTAAGAGGAGTTTTCATGCCTTAATTTCTGCTTTTTTTCACTGTGCAGGAAGCTTCTGGAAGGCGAGGAGTGCCGTCTCAGCTCTGTGGGCGGAGCCATGGTCCAGTCTGGCTACCCGGGCTTCTCCTACATGTCAGCCCGCACCTACACCCTGGGCTCATACAGGAAGTCCAAGCCTGAGGAGGAGGAAGAGGAGGCAGAGGAGGACGAGAAGGAGGAAGAAGAAGAGGAGGGCGAAGAGGAGGAGGGAGAGGAGGGAGACGACCAGGAGGAGGGCGAGGGAGAGGAGGAGGAGGAGGAGGAAGAGGAGGAGGAAGAGGAGGAGAAGCCAAAGGAGAAGGAGGAGAAGGAGAAGAAGGAGGACAAGAAGGAAGACAAGAAGGAGAAGGAGAGCCCTGCCGGGAAGACCAGCAAGAGCTAAGCTGCTTCTGCCATCCTCATCGTCCCCGTCACCATCAATAAGTCATTCCACATCCCACCGATCACCTCTGAAACCTGGATCCCGCTCGCATTGTCTCAGTGTCTCTCACACACACACACACACACACACACACCTGCACACTCCAGTCGGCCGGTGCCGACGGCAAAAGGCCAAAAGGCCAGAGAGGGAGCTTTAGAAAAAAGGGCAGAGGAGCTTAAAGCTCCTCCTCTGCCGGTTCCGGTCAAGCGTCCGAGCAATGACACAGGTGCCATCAGCGTCCAAACCCCCCCCCCCTTCGAGGGAGGGTCACGATATTGTGAGCACACAGACTTTCTCAAGATTACGCACACACAGCATGACACAACAGCCGGTCCGACTTTTACGGTGCTAACTGATTTTTACGTGTAAAAGTTGGGGAGTCCTGTAAGCAGGTGGTTCTGCCGACTCCTTATCCGAACGCCGCCCGGCTTCTGAAACGGGAGGCCATTGAGCTGGAGGGTCAGCACGGCGGGCTGGGGGGCGCCCGCCGCTCGCCGCCCGAGCGCCCGGGCGCCTCCACTCCAGCTGGTTTGACATTTCATCCCACCTGTCTTTTCTTTTTTTCTTTCTCTTTTTGCCATTTCAGCACGGCAATAAAAGGCAGAAACGAGCTCAGAGAAACTGCACGCCGCGGTGCGTTTGGGGACGCGCGGCATTTACAGATGTCACTGAGGAGTGAGTGAGGAGATGAATAATGTAGAGATCAAATTGCTGCTAAATATATTTTGGGAATATAAACAGTCCCTCCCTTTGATTGATTCATTTGTCAAAGAATTGAGCTCTCATGTGAAAATTTGTCCTTATTTATGTTTTTAGTTTCTCTCACATAAAGAAGGAGGTGCTTAGTTTTTTATTTCTTTTGGCTGGAAACAGGAAATAATGTGAGTGGGTGTGATAAGTTGTCACAGTACACAGTAAAGAGTTGCATATAAGGGCTATTTTCCCCATAACCTTCAGTATCTTTGCCCTGGATCATTTAAAATAGCTTTTCCTCCCATCATGTCACTCCCTGCTCCCTGTTTCTGCCTTTCTTTTTTTGACAAATGAATCAAACGACGGGCATGAATGCATGGCCTGATACTTGGAGCTTGAATATCTGCTGGATGGGATAAACTTGTTTTGCTTGTTGTGTGTACAATAATAATGATAATAAAAAAAAATGTATACAAAAAATGCCTTAACCATGAATGAAAGTTAAAATGAAACATGTTTCCACATCTCACTTGTACCCGGGGAGACGGAGGAGTGCTGACACTTTCAAGATTCTTCTATTATACAACTGTGACTGTGCGTGCTGCTGTCTCATGCAGTGATATTGCTCTCAAAGCCAAATAAAGACATTTATTAACCAAACAGTCTTGTCATCTCCGTGCTTTCAGTCCCATTGAAGCTATGATGAAAGTCTCAATCACAGCAGAATACAAAGTAATCTATGAAAATATCAGAGAAAGCAATTTTCATGGAAAACAATCGGTATTAAAGACATTTAGTTGAAACCCTCCTTGATGCATGCTCTGTGCTGAGAGTTGCAGATATTTGTGAAACAGAGGGTAGAGGGAGGAAGCCGAAAGGTGGAACACTTTATATTGAATTCTGTCTCCGAAATTCTAACCACACCGTTTTAATTTAAAAAGATCTCACATCCTGATAGAACTGAACAATTGTACTCTATTTATTTGAGCACAGATGGATGGAAAAACCTCCATGAACCCCTGAAAGCCTCTGAGTACAGAGAGCATGTTCGAGCAGCTGAGCCAAGCCGCATCACAAATGCAGCTTTTGATATGCACACATTTAATTAGCTATATACCAGACAACAGAACACTTAGCATTCCTATATCTGTGAATCTTGAAGATCAAATGAGCAGGATGGAGCCACATGTGCTGCAGGGGAGGTCTTTTTTCTGAAGCAGAAACATTTAAGCCGCCAAAAGATCTGTACAGCTGTCAAAAAACCAGTCAGTCCTGAAAACACTGCTGAGAAAAAGCCGAATTCACCCATCCCAAATGGGAAATATCCCAATCACCTGACGGTATTTTGGTCAAACGTGTAAAACAATGCGTATTTATGGAAAAAGAAAGAACTCTCTTCATTATAAGGTGCGGCTGATCCTGACCAGCCTTTGTAGACGATCACATAGACAGAAGTGTCATCATACACACCAACATACAGGAGCGGCCTGATTGAGAAGCTGCCAGTCAAAAGTGCTCAGCTGTCTGATCTTCAGCTGGTCGGAGCACCTGAAGGCAGAAGTGTGCTGCTCTGGAGCATCCAGATGTGTGTTAATGCAAGCAGAAAACACATCTGCAGTCATCTCAGAGAAGCTGCTGGTTGTCAATCCTGCAAAGATCATCAGGTCGTTCATTGTTTGGGGATCTTGCTGTATGAATGTAAAGGTCGAAGTTCAAGTGACTTCAATTGGAGGACGACTGAGGTATCCCTATGAGCCACTGCTTATTAAATACCACTCACAAGCTCTTAATTATCTGGTTTCTGGCAAAGATCTCCAGACCTCTCTGTCCCCGTTCATCTCCTCCATTTTTTTCTGAGTCATTCCGAAGCCGGCTCAGGGATCCCGTCTCTCCAGTGGGTCCTGGATCAGCCCTGAGGTCTCCTTCAGGTCGGACACATCTCCAAATATCTGTCCCTTAGCGGACTGGGAATGGCTGAATCTCTCCCCCTGCAGCTCATCATCTCATATCAGGAAACGTGCACTAACTGGGGTTTTGAAAGGTGGCTGTAAGATCTTAAATGAGAAAGCTTAAAGACAAAAAGTCTTTCAGGGGAATTTGCTCTGCCGTCCACTTCCCGCTGCCTGCCTCATTACCTCTCAGGCAGCGGTCAATATCTGAGGAGAAAGCTGGATAGAGTCTGCCAGGTGTTCCTGTCAGCTCATTTCGGCCGCTGCTCCCAGAGGAAACGGACGGGGGAGATGGATAGCAGGTGTCAGCGCGGGCCCTCCAGCACAGCTGCCAACAGCAATAGCTTCATCACAGCCTGGGAGGGTTCATTTCCCCGCTTACTGACTGCAGTCCACTCTGTGCCTGTGTGCATGTGGGGCCTTTTTCTGTTGTAATCACTAACCCTGATGGGGCCGGTGGACTTTATGGGGGCTAAAGCTCAGTCCCGGTCCTCAGCAAAAGACCTTTTGCTGGTATTTTTCTCTGTGGAAGTTGTTGTTTATTTGTCTCTGATGCCGCTGCCCAGACAGATGGCAAAAAAAAGCACACTGCATTCCGTAAAACACTGAAAGACCTCCGCTTCGTGCAGATGTACAGCCTCTCATGTCCTTTTTCAATGGCCTTGGTGTTGCATTTCCTATCCAGGTCAGGCTCACGCACAGGGCTCCATTTGTGCCCAAATATGCTCACATGCTCAGTTTTTATTCTCCCACAACACACGTTCAATTGGCTCTGTGCAGCTCTTCAGTTTGGGACCGAAGCTACTTCGATCAATGCCGAACGCTGACGTGACAAAATTCCTCGGTGCTTGTTTGGGCCCAGGTGGATCCCTCTATTCACCTTTGGGTTTGGCTTCCTTCCGGTCCTCTTCAGAACCACAAGCGTCTACTTTTTGTGTTGCTTCTGTTCAACACGATCGTTCTCGCTACGTGCCACGAAGCCATCGACCTGTTCCCTGAACTCAGCCTCCGCCTGTCACCGATACACCCACCGGCCCGCCGAGTCACCAGAGACTTACCTCTGAGGACGTCTGGGGCGCTCGGAGCCAAAACAGTCCCCTGTCACTCTGCCAGACATCCCTCCACGCTCCGCATGCTGCACAGCTCTTTATCCCCCTCCTCCCAGTTTCTAATAACATTTTAAAAGTTTGGCAGAGAACCCCGATATTGGAAGGAAAATGCTTTGTCACTTTAAGGCCCTGAGCTCGGTTAGAGAAGAACTCTCCTCCTTTTGAAAAATAAATTGAAATCATTTCCTGATGTTATTGGCTGAATTTGTCACCAGGAATTGCAGAACCTCATTAGAACAGGATGGATTAGCGTGTTTTGGGGGGGATTTCATGGGTAGCTGAGGGATAAAAGCTGCTTCAGAGGATGTGATGGGAAGGTGAGTGCTGTCTGTGAGCATTTTACAGGCCGTGCTGTGAGAGCATGACCTGTAAAGTCCAATAGTAGCTGTATCCACCAACATCCCCCCCCGGGGAGCTGACCTGTCTGCCTCCTAATGCCTGCCTCCCTGACCACAGCAGAGTGGGAAATGTCTGTGCCCCTCGCTATCAAGCTGCGATAAAAACTCTGTGGACTGAGAGAGATGTGCTTTTTCCAGCTTTAATCGCCATGTTTTGTCCAGCGATGGGACCCACAGAGGGAGTGGAGGGGATGGCTGAGGAGGTGTGGGGTTAGGTTAGCTTCTTCTATCCCAGGAATAGAGGCCCCTCCTGATACTGGACGGAGGTTTTGCAGTGTGGATCTGACCACACCAGGACTGAGAGGTTCAGGCAGAGTTATGACTCAGCACCGGCCTCTGTGGCCGACACTGAGACAGGCAGCGTTGTCAGGGGGACAGATTTATTGAAAAATTCAGGCGTGGGATCGATGCTGCAGCGGCAGCTCGGCGGGGCTTGTGGCCCCCCCGGGCCGGGCTGCGGGCTCGTCCTTCAGCAGGGCTGCCCGCCTGCGTGCCCAGCTCTGCCGTCAGCACATTCCGCTGCCGTGGAGGCGCATGCATAATTGAACCGCTCCTCTTCCTCCCCTCCTTTTTCTCCCGAGGCCCCTTCGAGATCAAGCAATAAACGAGGAGCCGCAACATTAACAGACACCTTCCTCCGTTCCCGCTTCTGCAAGTTTGCAAGCATGAAATTGTGGTCATTCTTTGCAGGTAGTTAATCACATTTCAGAGATTTTTTTCTCATTGCTGTGTGGACACTTGATAACTGGAGTTTTCCGATGTTTAAACTCGGTTTCCTGTTCACACAAACTGATTCACACAGAGGGAAAGGA